AATCGATTTGACGCCCGCGCGCAAATGGAATCTCTCCAGAGCGAGTTGTCGGCGTAGAGAAGGCGAAGTTACAAATCCGGACGTCTCGAGCGATCTCGTCACGGAGCCGCTCTCTTTCGCTTCGCTCTCGTCGCTTTCGCGTTGCCCTTTTCCGTCGTCATCATCGGAGCGAACGAATTCGAAGGCAACCGACGGCGGCACTTTTCCGCTCGAGGCGAGGGGCTTCTCGCGCGCGACGCGACGCGACGCGACGCGTCCAGCGTTACATCGGCGACGGCTGCGAGGCGTAACGTTACACCGCGAGCGGCCGATCGATACGAGTGGTACACGGCGCGACGAACATTCGTCGTTCTCCCTCTGTGTGTCAGTCGCTGCCGTTCGCTCTGTCGCGTCGCCGTCTCCGTACACCCTCTCTCTCTCTCTCTCTCTCTCTCTCTCTCTCTCTCTCTCTCTCTCTCTCTCTCCCTCTCTGTTGTCGTCGCAGTCGCCGCCGCTGCCGCCTCCTCCACCTCCACCTCCGTCGCTGCCGACATAGCCAACGCCGCCGCCGCCGCCACGTCCCTCTTCCGCTTTCCCTTTCGACGGCCTCGGACGAGCGAGAACGGAGGGGGTGCTGAAAACCCCTTTAAAGCTTTAACGCGACCAACCCGTCGGTCGTTAGCGCGCGCACGTGGCGATTGTTCACGAGGAAAGATAGAGAGAGAGAGAGAGAGAGAGAGAGAGAGAGAGAGAGAGTGGAGGAGAGAGAACGCAGACGAACGACCGCCATCGGTGCGTCTCTTCCGTTTTCTCGTCGATCGCTCGTTAAATCGCGATCACGTCGCCGTGAAATCATACAGTGACGTTCTTCGTGCGTCGCCGCGGCCGACTACGTGACCTCCGGGAATGAAGATTCGCGCGCGAGAATTCGCGAGTCATTCACCTCCCTCCCTCCCTCCTTCCCTCCCTCTCCATCCTTCTCTCTCTCTCTCTCTCTCTCTCTCTCTCTCTCTCTCTCTCTCTCTCTGCCTCGTTGCACCTTTGTACGATAATTAATACCAAAGAGAGAGAGAGAGAGAGAGAGAGAGAGAGAGAGAGAGAGAGAGAGAGAGAGAGAGAGAGAGAGAGAGGTGTTTGCGAGGAAAATTTATTCTCGAGAAATGGAACACCTGCGCGTCTCTATGACGAGGTAAACTTATCGCTGGTGAAAAATTCACTAGGCGCGCTTCCACGCGCTCGGAAAGATGAAGAAAACGCTGAAGAGGATGTAACTGCGGCGTCATCCTCGCGTTCTCGACGAGACGGGGCTCTTCACGGTCGACGAGCGAGATCGATCTATTTCGATGTACCCACTACATCGACAGTCGGTCGCGAACGGACGGGGCGGACATGCATGCGTGCGGGCGTGTGTGCGTGCGTGCGTGCGTGCGTGCGTGCGTGCGTGCGTGCATGCGTGCATGCGTGCGGGACCACCGAAGACGCGCGAACGAAAAGGAAAGCGCGGATCGTGAGTGCGTTCGCACGCGACCTCGTTCTTTCGCGCGGCGCGCGCTCGTCGGCACTCCAAGCTCGTACGACCTTCTCCGTTTTACCTCTCTCGAACTGCGTACGTACGTACCACACCATCCTTGCCAACTGTCACGACGTGACGTTTCTCGACCCGCCTCTCACGAGCGAGCGTACGTACGTGCGTGCGTGCGTGAGAGAAAGAGAGAGAGAGAGAGAGAGAGAGAGAGCGGATGCCTTCGCCGAACCGCCGCGGTAATCCGGAGGAAATAATTGTCGCCGGCCGTGGCGGTGTCGAACGATCGAACGATTCGGCTCGGAATTCAAGTTTAATCGAGAACTCGCTCTCGCGTACCGAGGAGACACGAAATCCCGGGGAGAGACAGGGGGAGAAGGAAAAGTGTATCGGTTCAACTCGGATTTGCTTAATCGGAGAACTGGCTAATTCGAGGTGTCTCTAAATGAGGGCAACTTGAGAAAGTCGGAAGGGAGGCTTTAATGTCGTCGCGCGTCGTCCGCGGACGTTTCTTTCCTCCCTTTCGCACGAATTTCTCGAGAAGAGAGCGAGAGAGCGGGAGGAACGTCGCGTCATGGGGAAATCGTAGTCGGCGAATGTCCAAAATCCAAAGGTGATTTTTACCTGCGACAAGGATAACTTCTGTGCGTTTGTTTTGTGCGCGCGCGCGCGCGCAATGGCGTTTTTTTGTTTTTTTTTTTTGTTCGGCTTCTGTCTCAGGAGGGAATCGCTCGCGAATTCAACTCCAGCTCTGTCCGTTCGATTATGACATGAATAGTCACGGGGATGTCACGGGGATTAAATCCCGCCGATATAATGATCTGATTTATATGCAAGTTTATCGCGGAACGGGTGCAACGGCGCGTCACTGACATCTCTATATCCACGTGCAATTGACGCTCCTGATCGAACGGTCGAACGATTTCATTTTCCGTGCTAATTTATTCACGACGGCTCTCTCTCTCTCTCTCTCTCTCTCTCTCTCTCTCTCTCTCTCTCTCTCTCGCCGCGCTGGCTTCACACCCGCGATCTTCACCGACTTTGTCGTTGCGTTTTTGCGCGCAACCTCGCGGTCGCCCACCCTCTTTCTTGCGCGTGTAACGTTTTATCGCGGCAGTTACAAGATTTTCTCTCGTTTTCTCCCACAGAAAGAATGCCTGGCGTTTGTTTGGCAGATAGTTTTAACCCCTTGACATACAAATAAAACGGAACTCGATGCGTCCGAGAAATACTATTTAATTTCGCTCAACTGAACACTGATGTGGAAGGTGAGAAAGAGTACATTTTATTTTGAAATTCGGATTTTTGTATAACATTTAATCAGGTTGATACATAATGCTAATGAAGAACAACTAAATAACATTAAGAAATAATTTACGCACATTTTGTAGAACGGAGCTAGCTTCACTCGAACTCGAACCATCACATTGAGCAATCAACGGTATGAACACTTTGATGACCGGTGTCAATCTCATTATCATCACTAGAATAGCCTATTTGTACCATCATCGTCACTTTCATATAATACATCCGACTTGTACATGATACAGGGATTATTTATAATCTTTACTAAACTCAAATATTGTCCGGCATGACATTCACCGTGCGACATCCCCGCTATACTGAACACTACTTTCAATGTGCTTCTTCTGATATGTCGACGCTTTTTTGTTATTGGAATTGTTGAGAAGGTGGGAGGGTGGGGCATCTCGAACTATATAAACAAACGAGAATCGACGCACGAGTGAAGCGACATAGTTTATTTATATACCGCACGGCGTCCGCTGAAAACAGCTTTTGACGAGTCAGACTCGTCAAAGTCTACAGTGGCACATGAAATGAATAGACGACCCTAACTCGTCATTGTGCGTCAAGGGGTTAATATCATCAAATTTCCAAGGAGGATTGTCATCCTCAAATATTGGGTATTAAACTTAATTTTCAAGGATTTACAAGAGATGGCGCAGTGGATGGAGCACCTAATGGCATCGGCCCATACTGAAGCCCTGTCATTAGGCTTTAAGAATCAGTATATTTCATTTGGTCCAAGTGTAAATAACATATCTTTTTAGCGCATTCAATATGTCGAGTCAGTCTTGCCAGCCAACGAAACCCGCAATTTGTGCTGGCAGCGTTACTTTTTTGTTCGTTTGAAAAAATCGGCAGCTGAGAGTCTTCGTTTGCTGTCCGAAGCTTATGGGGATTAAGCTCCCTCCATCGATCTCAACTTGCGAGTACCGCTTTAGACGATTCAAAAGTGGAGATTTTCCACTTATCCATCGTACGAAGGTGTAATGCTCTGTGTCTGGTGGGATCAGAAGGGTGTGGTCTATTATGAGCTGCTAAAACCTGGCGAAACCATTAGTGGGAACCGTTGTCGACAACAACTGAACCGAGCTGAACCGAGAATTGAAAGAAAAATGACCAGCGTACGCTGGAAAAGATACGACAAAGTGATTTTCCAGCGTGACAACGCTCGGTCACGTGTCGCTAAACCGGTGAAGGAAACGCTAGAGCTGCTGGGATGGGGTGTTCTGCCCCACCCGCCGCGCCACCAGACATTGCTCCCTCTGATTTCCATCCATGCATCTTGTTTCGATCCATGCAGAATCACCTTTCTGCCCAGCACTTCAGTTCTTTAGAAGATATCAAAAAATGCCTCGATTCATGGATAACCACAAGAGACGAGTCGTTCTTCCGCCTAGGACTTCCGTCTTTTACCAGAAAGATGGGAAAAAGTTGCGGCTAACGATGGACGGTACTTTGAATAACGTGTACTTTGTTATCACTTTGTTTCGAAATAAACGTTTTCATTTTCACAAAAAAAAAATCCTTCAAAATTAAGTTTAATACCCAATATTAAAATATTTAATATCTTGACACATCTTATGAAATTATGTATGATATTTTATCGAAGGTACACAAATATATCTGTTGTACACTTGAAATATCCTTATCACATGTTTCTCTTAACGTCTGATATTTTTCCAACGTTTTATTTTACACAAAAACTCCTCCAGCGTAATAAAACTGCCGATTCAACGCGATCCACCCACCTAACGCGTTGACGTTGACGGCCGTAGCCATCACCCACACGCTGACCTACACCACGAGCCCGATGTGCGTTTTATCATTAACTGTAAGCGGCTGTAAAAAGGGCTACGGTGAATCCGTAATCTTAAATTAAACGTACGGCCGCTGGCACGAATCCACGCGACAACGCGAACGAGACATACGCGTCCGGAGATAATCGCACTTATCGCGTACCGTGCGTGCCGTATCTCTGATTATTATTCGATCTTCGATTGAACTTCCGAACACACAATGCGACAGAGGGGCCAGGGGGGAGGGGACGAGCACGATAGTCGGCGTGTCAAAAGCGAATTAGCGATAACGGAAATGTAGCGCTGTCCCCACATCGATATACACGACATTTCTACATCCCGCGGCTTTATTCGCCGCACGTTCGTCTCTCTAAAATCGATCGTCGCGTTTGCAGATGCTGTCGGTGACACAAGGAATGGAGGTCGGCAGCAGCGGACACGGCGCACACGGTGGTCTCGGCGGTGACCCGTCTGGTGCGGTTGGCGGCGGCGGCGGTGGAGGCGGTGTAGGAGGAGGAGGAGGAGATGGTGGCGGGGGCGGAGGCGGGGGCGGAGGAGGAGGCGGCGGCGGCGGCGGAGGTGGCGTCGGCGGTGTCGGCGCCGGCGGAGGGGGTGCCGGTGGTAGTTCCAACAGCAGAGACATACAGGAAGTGATGATCGCCGTGCAGAGAGATCGCGCGATTCGCATGGGCAGCGTCCGGCAGGACCTCGTCCTCGACTTGCCGCCGAGACTGCAACTCCCGGACGGCGAGGAACGTCCGTACGGAGCGCACATGGGCCTCCACCTCCGCGACCCGGAACAGGTGAGAGCCGAGGCTCAGCTTGGGAAAGCCGGGCTTGATGAAAATGCTAACGAACCACGAGGATGATGGCGATGATGACGATAGTAACTCCTCAGGGATGGTCTTCTACTCGGAGAAATCGGGGAATTCTGGAGGGGAGGGGGGGACCTGACGAATCTTCCTCCAAACGATCCCTTCGCCTTTATCCTGTCTTTATCCTGGGAGCAATCGAGATTGCGCGAGAACGACTATCCTTTTGTTATTCGTCGATACTTGTTGCAATATGTCGAGTTTGCAACTCGATTGTTTCGCGAGAGTAGATGAGAGACACTAAGAGAAGTCAGCGCGCGACAAATAGATTCATCTGAATTTGCCTGAAAAGTAGGGGCGATTCTCGGAGGAGCGTTTACGCGAGTGGCCTCACGTCGTCAAGCGACACGACGACCCTCGCCGATTCGTTTACTCGCCGCCAGAGGAGAACGACCGAAAAACATATTTATTTATTCGCTTCCTGTCGCGCCGCGGAACCTTCAGGTTCAAGTACTCATTGCGCTTCGTCATCATCGTTCGTAAGCAACGGGGATATTAAACTCCAGATCGAGCAGGGTCGGTTTTTAAAGCTATCGCGATCGATGCATCGCGATAAAACTCTTTCTCGCAAGTTCGCGATCACGAAGAACCTATATATATATATCTCTTTTTTTCTCGTCAAGCAGACAGATGCTTTATTTTTATCTTCTCCTATCCTCGCGCATCGCGATGTGCAAGATGGCTGGCGTGTAGCTGTCGCCTCATTATCGACCCGCGACTACCTTGAACCTCGAAGGGTCGCGCGAATTTCCGACCATCCGTTTCTCTCTCTCTCTCTCTCTCTCTCTCTCTGTCTCGCTCGCTCGCTCTCTCTCTCTCTCTCTCTCTCTCTCTCTCTCTCTCTCTCTCTCTCTCTCTCTCTCTCTCTCTCTCTCTCTCTCTCTCTCTCTCTCTCTCTCTCTCTCTTCGGATCTTACCCTCGCGCGCACACAAGCACCCCGTGTACCCAACGACTAATTGAATCTCCCGTTTCCAGGAGAGCGAGATTTACCAGAAGTGCGTGCGCCCGCCGCCGAATCGCACGGTGTTCGACAGCGAGAGCCCGCCGCCTTATCGCAGCCACTCGGGACTGGTGACGGACACGCCCGGCGAGCGGCTGATGCGCAGCAACAGCGCCGGTAGTTCGCTGCTCAAGGTGTTCCGGAGGTTCCCGCATTCCGGCGGCTCGACGCCGGCGGCGTCGGTGGTGGTGCCGAGCAGGAGACCGGCCATGTCCAATTATTCCGAGTCCAGTAGTAACCTGAGCAATCTGAGCAGTAGCAATCTGTCCAACCTCACCGTGGTGCCCTGTGAGACCGAGGAGAGCCGGCAAGAGCAGCAGCAACAGCAACAGCAACAGCACCATCACCACCATCATCACCACCATCACCACCACCACCACCATCATCATCACCACCACCAGCAGCAACAACAACAACAGCAGCAGCAGCAGAACGTCTGATCCGTGGTAATAAGGCCGAGGGAGAAAACGCGCGGTGGCGGCGACGACGGCGGCTGCACCGTCACCGTCGCCCCATCGTCGTCGTCCTCGTCGTCGTCGTCCTCGTCGTCGTCGTCGTCGTCGTCGTCGTCGTCGTCGTCGTCGTCGTCGTCGTCGTCGTCGTCGTCGTCGTCGTCGTCGTCGTCGTCGTCGTCGTCGTCGTCGTCGTCGTCGTCGTCGTCGTCGTCGTCGTCGTCCTCGTCCTCGTCCTCGTCCTCGTCCTCGTCCTCGTCCTCCTCGTCCTCCTCCTCCTCCTCCTCATCGGTGACTAGCAGGGCGACGTCCTCCCTGTTCGCACTGAGGAATATCGTCGTCGTCGTCATTGTTGTTGCCGCTGCTGCCGCCGCCACCGCTGCTACTGCTGCTGCTGCTGCCGCTGCTACCATTGTCGTCGCGGCCGCCGCATCGCCTGACCTCGAGAACGAGCGATGGATCGACGACTGTCCTTCAAGACTGACTCGCGGGAGAAGCTTCAACATAGGATAGGTCCCCCCGGTCGTGTCCCATCGTGTTCAACGAGGAGTATTGCACATGTCAACGAGCGCGATGACTTACTCCGCACGGTGCGCGAAACACTGGAGAGAGGGGTATACTAGCCCCGTGGTATCCTCGTTGGATCGTTCTTCCGGCGTTCTTAATAATGAGAGAGAATGAGAGAGAGAGTGAGAGAGAGAGAGAGCGAGAGAGAACGAGAGCGAAAGAGAAAAATATAGAAAAAGAGAGAGAGAGAGAGAGAGAGAGAAAGAGAGCGAAAGAGGATCGTCCGTACGTGGCCTAAAGGGAGGGTCGGCGGAGGGTGGGAAGCCGGCTGCGGACTGACTGGAGGTAAAATCGTCAGTCATCAAAGACTGCGCTCAATCGCCGTGCGTTGGTTCGCCTGTCCTCTTTCTCTACCGGGACGGTCGACGCGCCCGCGTCGTCGTCACCGTCGTCAGTCAGCGTTGTCGACGACGACGACGACGCGTCTCATTGTGCAATTCCACACGCGGCCAGTGTCTAGCCTAGATCTCAGATTATTCCAAAGCGGTGGTTGTTACGAGAGAGAGTTACGAGAGAGAAAATCAACGGGGCGAGAAAGAGAGAGAGAGAGAGAGAGAGAGATATAAAGATAGATTGAGCGAGGAGGAGAAGAGGAGGCGGTTGAAAGTCCGGCGTGTGAGGAGAACCGCGTTACCAACGCGCGACGCGAAGAAGCGGCCTACCTAAGTAGTTGGACGAGAGAAGACCTCCCCCTCTGTCCAGAGATTTTTGGCGGACATGACGAAGAGACTCCTCCACTCTGCGTAGAAGCGACGGACGGGCGAGATTCGCGGCTCGCGGTTAACCGGCGGCGACATATTTGTGGATTTGGGTATCCCGGCCGCCGGTCGCGCCTTCTCTTCCGGCCCTCGACGGAGGCTCTCGATTCGTCGGACATCGCGGAAGTTTGTTCATCGCGACGAAGACTTAGTAAATTATTTATTGCCGAGACATACGATATTTTATTCGCGACGGGCGGCTGCTGCGCAACACGCGGCCGCACAGGGCGAGCGGTTGGTTTCGCGCGGTGGTTGGTGGTTTTTCGTTGTGTGGAGAAACGACGGACGGGACACATATACATACACACACACACACACACATACGCGCGAGTTGTATGAGCGAATCGTTCGATAATGATGATGATGCTGTTGCTGATGATGATGATGCTGAGATGATTATGACGATGACGATGATGATGTTGATGATGATGAAAATGATGATAACCGTGTGAGTGCGGCCAGGCATGTGTACGAGTAAATGCAGTGCGTGCGCGCGCGCATGCGTGCGAGGGGGCAAGACGAAAAGTGAAAAGAAAGAGATAACGAAGGGGAAAGAAATTGCCTCTAGTGGGTAGGTGGGGTAAGTAGGTAGATAAGACGAGAAGAGACCGCGCAAAGAAGCGAGGCTTGCAGAGTCGGGAAATACCGAAAAAGGGCAAGAAGAGAGAGAGAGAGGGAGAGCGTGATAATGGAGAAAGAGAAGATACCGTGCGCGCGCGCAAGCGTTGTATATGCGTGTGAGGGAGCTAGGAGGATTAATGTAGTGCCAAGAGTGAAAACGGAAACTCTGTACATATTAGGCTAGGTAGTTCAATATCAATATACTTATTACGACTAAAAACGATATACTACGTACCGATTTAAAGGTAAACATCAAACATACGTTACAACACGCATACCATAAAACACACGAAGTGACCGCGGCCGTGCGAGAGCGCGACGGGGCGCGCACACGCCTCCGACAAATGTGCATTCTTCCGACGACATGTGACGTCGAGTGTGCGTGCGAGTGTGACTTCTTCGTGCGCTGCGTGTGTACCACGAACGATCGACGACGTGAAAATTTCTCACGACACAAACGCATTTTCGGCCCACACTACACGAGACAGACAGAGAGAGAGAGAGAGAGAGAGAGAGAGAGAAGGAGAAGGAGAAAGAGAGACTGTAAATTGATTGACCGTAAATTATTCATTTTCTGCAGAGAAAACTGTTGAAAAAACAGATACGCCGAGGAGGAAATTGATTAGAAAGAGAGATCTTGTTCTGTCCTACAAATTTGTCTACGTGGTTAGAAATAATTCGAAACATGGAAACGGTCAAAATCCGATTTTTCAAGTCTTTGTTCGCGACGGAACTTGAACGAGTGTTCTCTCTTTTCTCGGATTAGTTTTTTTTTAAGGATGATTCATATGAGAAAAGAAAAAGGAAGAAGGTTGCTCCGTCGCACCGATGGTATTGGATAACCAATTCTGTTTTTTCAACGACCGTCTATCTCTTTCTGGGTCATTGATCCAGTTGCAACGCGCAGAGGAAATTGAGTTAATCGCTTTAATTAAACCGAGTTGAGGCCGACTGAAACCGATACAACTCGGTGCTGAGCGATCGACCGCGGTACATTCGCGGCATCGAAGAAGAATCGCCCGCCGAACAACGACTGTTATTTGCCCGACAAATGTTTGTTTAGCAAACAGCGAGTTACATTTGCGGCGGCGGTGTGCATAAAACTATTGGCGGTGGCCATCGCGCGAGCAGGCGTGCGCGTCCCTTTCGCGTTCCGAATGGCTCGCACACTGTGTCCGAGATATAACGCTATCTTTATTATTATTCTCAAATAGATAAGGCCTCAGTTTTTTGATGAAATAGGACGAGTTCTGTTTGAGCGAGGATTCGTGTTCGACGGCGCGTTCACTCGATTTCACTCGGCATTTCGCTTCTCGTTTCTCGATTAGATTTCGTCTCTTGACACGATATTACGTAAACGTTTTACACAATTTATCGCTTACGTAAATTGTGGATTCGAGCATAAAATTATTCCTAGTGTCGTTAAAATAATAATAATAATAATAATAATCCTGACGATCAAACAGTTTACCATTAAATCACGAGTGTCCGCTGGTTGTACACTGCGCAATATCTCCCGCGAGATGTTGCTCGACTAAATCAAGTTTCGGAGCTGATAGCCACTTAGGTACACAGACACACGACGCGCGAACGCACCGTCGACTTGGAATCCCAGCCTCGAGACAGAGCGAATCACTCGATTATTTTATGAGAAGTCACCAATTATTGTATTTCTTAAGAGTCCGAGAGATGGAGGAGACGCGGGGAGAAATTGCAATGAAATTTACCGATACGTTTCCCTTTGTGATCAACGGATCGTGCGTGACGTGCGTGGAATGCGCGAGACAGAGGAAGAAGAGCAGATGCCGCGCGTTGAAAGAGAGGAAGAGAGTGAGAGAGAGAGAGGGAGGCGGAAAAGCGAATTCCCGTCGGGCACCCGGTGTGCATTTCGTTGGCGTTCATTTCGCGAGCTTCCGCTTCGTTTCCGAGGACCGGCGTCGACCGAGCCCGCCGGGGGCTCCTCGTGACGGGACAGCCCCCGTTCGGCGCGAGGATTATTCCGTTAGGACGCACGAAATTCTCGATTGTGTAACGATCGGCCGCGATTTTGTCAAGTCGTCGCTCCTCGACACGCGACACATTTCGGCATTATAAACGTGGCGCGATGAAGGCGTAATCGGCGTCTCGACGGCGGCTCCTAATTATCGTTAATGAGTTCGTCGTAAGAAGGGAAAAAAGGAAGGAAGAAAGAATGAAGAAAATAATTAACTTTCGGGGAAAAATGCCCGGGCAATTGTATGCACATGTGCGACGTTGTTCTGTTTCGCGTTAGGTTTATTGGTCACTACGTGCGAAGGAGAGCGAGTCGGGGAAGGAAGTACTGTCTTTCTGTTTCACCTTTGAAATGTGTTCACGCGCATGCAATATTAGGCGACAAAGTTTTAATCGTATTCTATGTAAAGAGGCGCGCAAGAGAGAGAGAGAGAGAGAGTAGCGCGTGCGCGGCAAAGTGATGAGAAATATCGGGAGAGGAGATGTTTGTGCGCGTTCGATAATCGAATCGAGTGTATGCGTATGTGTATGTGTATGTATGTGTGCGAGTGTGCGTGCGTGTGTATATGCGTACATGTGGGAGGAAGGGAGAGAGAGAGAGAAAGAGAAAAAGAGAGACAGCGGGAGAAATCGATCGGCGAAGATCAATGGTGCGGCTCGAATAATCGGCCTACAATCGATCGCAGAAAAGAACTTTTGTGGTTCTTATGTGAAAATAAATGCCTTCTTCTCTGCGATCGACTGTGCGCCGATTAATTGACAAACCTCAACCGTCACCATTTATCGGTCGATTTCTCTCGCCCTCTCTCTTTCCCTCTCTCTTTTTCTCCCTGCGAAACCAAATGAGGGAGAAACTGGAGCGAGCGAAAGCGTCGAGGGAGAAACGGGAGGAGAGGGCAATATAGAGATGAATTCGAAAAGCGAGAAAATGAAATGTATAATTCGATGGGTCTTGTGCAAGTTTCGGTTAAATTCGCGAGACGTCGTCGAGCTATAGATTGAATTGAAGAAAAAGACGACATTACGAGCGAGACACTTTAGACGATAAGTTTTTAGGCAAAGTGAAATTTTTAGCAAACTTGATTATCTAATTATCGCTATCAAACATCGTGATATCTAGCAATTTGTTAAT